TTTGAGGACCTTTGGTTACCCAAACAGGAGGCCACTCATCACGTGTCTTGACCTTTACTAAACTGCATTGTTTTCTGTGTGCGGAATTATAACTGCTCACTTTAAAGAAGTCATGGGGTAGAAAAAAATCCTCAGAATATGTAAGGAAAGTCTTCATAACTCACTTGGTTGGTAAATTATATATAAATATATATATATAATATATAGCTATAGATACATTAAATATATACAGTTGAGTACTGTGTAGATGCCGTCTATGAAGTAATTAGCATTTTTTAATGTTAATATATGGTATCTCTACCCACTAGATCCAGCTGGCATCAGCACTCTCATTTTTCATCATTGTAACCATCTCTAAACCTCCCTCTGGCTTGCCTTTTCTTTTCTTTTAACTAGAAGAGGAAAGAAGGAAGCCTCTGTCAGAGGCTTTCATTCCCACATGTGTGTGTGCTTGGCATCCCTCTTCCTCTTCAACATCTAAGGCATGTTATTCGGGGAAGAAAAAGGGAAACTCAAAAGAGAAAGTCTTGTGGTCCCTCAGTAAGAATAATATTGGTTTTGTTTCCTCCACTACCTACCTCTGATGGCTAGAGAACACCTGTCTCCGCAACCAGTACCGCTGCAGTAATGGGAACTGTATCAACAGCATTTGGTGGTGTGATTTTGACAACGACTGTGGAGACATGAGCGATGAGAGAAACTGCCGTGAGTCCCTGGCTTGGCCGAGTTTGGGGGACGTTCAGCACTTACTGTTACTCGGAAGGCTGGTCAGCTCCTGGGTGGGGCCGACAGCCTAGGGGACTGGCTGGCCCCTCAAGATCAGTGAAGCCCATTTAAGCTGATGGTGTGTGTTTGGGGGTAGGGGGCTTGGAGAACAGAGAAAACACAGTTTCATACCCAACTAGATATATATTATTATTTAAAAAGAAACCTTCAAGAGTCAGCCGAGTGGCTCAGTTGGTTAAGAGCTCACTCAAAAGTGCGAGCTCTGAGCAACAGGGTCGCCGCTTCGATTCCCGGCCTGAGCTGAGCTGCCAACAGGTGGCAGGATGGCTCAGCTAGAAAAAAAAAAAAAAAAGAAAGCAAGAAACCTGCACAAGTAAGTTAACTACGTCATTATAAGAGATTGACAAATAAGCATCACATGGCTGAAACTGAGCTCATCTGAGAGTCGGGTAAGCTGGGTTCTGTGACCCTACCACTTGACTGAAGCTGGTGCCCTGGGGCAGTGACCAGGTGAGAGTCCTTGATGTGCAGGGTTAATATTCAGCCTTGTCAGAGACAGGAACAGGTTTTACCGTGTATGCCCCTGCAGTCAGTTGATGGGGGCTGCCTTCCAGGCTCCAGAGAGCTTGGTCTGCTCCATTGGTGATGCCTAGTTTGGTCTGCAATATGGGGATGTTGGTATGTGCGAATAGAAATGTCATCTTCGGACTGTGTAATTTCTAAGGCCTACCTGCTAAGGGATGTGATTCTGTGTAGCAGGGTTTAAAGACCAAAAAAATAACTACTTATAATGGATAATTGATTTACCACAGTTAATTTTTAACTGAGAAGGAGGTGCTTTGCCCCCTGCTAGTCAGTAATATGTTCATACAGTTACTCAACAAGTATTTATGGAAGTATTTATTGCTGGGCCTGGGGCTATGCTGCTGATCCGGGTGGACACAGTTTAAAGTCTGAAGGAGGAGTCAGAAAGGCAAATAGCCCGTTACATTCGCGCGATGAGTGCCTTGATGGGGAAGCACAGGGCACCAATCCAACTTGGGGAGGTACTCACGCAGAGCCCTGAAGGGCGAGTAGAGGTGAACCAACCAGAGGCGGAGGGAGGAAAACTCTAGGCAAGGGAGCAGCACATACGAAAGCCCAGAGGTCAGAATATATGTGGCCTGGTCAGGAAACTGGTGTGCGTCATTGAGAACTTGAGTGGGAGCAGTGGGGCAAGGGGAGGTTGGATCAGTGCGTGGGGCCCGGAGCAGCAAGGGCCTTTGGACTTTATCCAAAAAGCAATTGGGAACCATTGAAGTGACCTAAGATTTTCCCTTTGGAAAGATAGGCTGTGGGCAGAATGAATTGGATGAGAGAAACACCAGAGCTGGGAAGCCAGGAACCAATCTGAAGGCTTCCCTTTCAAGTATTTTATCTGTGGAAACCCAGAAGCTCATTTATCATTTTGCGTCCTAAGAACAGATTACTGGTTGTACTCATCTTGCCTCTGGCGGATGTCTTTATCCAGCCATCTGTAGAGCCTGTGCCAGGTTCCCATGCCGCTCCACCCAGAAAGCCACTTCAGAAGCAGTCAACTCATTCAACTCGTTTGGCCCTGCAATTCTCTGTACTGCCTTTTCTGTCTTCTTGGAGGTTATATACCAAACCTTTCCTTAGTCATTTTTCCTTGGCTTTAGTGGATGCTTTTCACATTGAGGGAGAAGAGCCTCAGCTTCCCAAATGGCAGATTTGGGAGAGCACTAGCCTCTGTGTTTTTCTTCTCTGCAAAAAGGTCACTGATAAAACCCTCACTACCTACCAGTCTCAGGAAGGTGTGATATTTGTGGGCAAATAACCAAAGCTCCTTAAAAACATTAATACATGTTAACAGCATTGGTGCAAATTCTGGAAAGGAGTTTGTTACAAAGCAGGGTGGGAGAGGAGATGCTTCTTAGAATTGACTCATTGCAAGAAAATCGCCCAGACGCGATTAGGGATTGTGGAAGCAGAGAGATACAAACTTGATGACCTCATGTCCAATAGCTAAGGATTACTCCTTGGGCCCCTGGGGTTTTGTTTTTATTAGATGGACAAGCTTCCCAGCTTGTCTCATATCGGTTTGGTGTTTTGAGAGAAAGACCTCCCTCCATGTTTGGGGGGTACAGCCCACCCACCCAACCCTGAGCTCTGCTGCTGGCCTCACAGGTTTCCACACAGAGTTTAAGCTCCTCTGGGTGAAGTGTGCAGCTGTCTCTGACCTCCTTCTGCTTTGGTGTAAATGTCAACTGGTACTGACCTTCCCAAGACCCTGAGACTTGCTTTCCGCTCTGCTTTCTCCCAATTCCACTTGACTCAGTTCCTGGCTAGTCGGATGTGGCAGAGGTGAGATGATGGATGCAGGGATTGAAATGTGGAGCCTGGAAACCAAGAGTGGTGCTTATCTTACCTTCCAGAGTGTCTCCCTTCTTAAGGAGGAAGAAAACAATGCTTATTATGATGGTGGGAGGCACCCTGTTTTGAAAGGCTACAGGGGAGGGATGGGCTGTGATGGGACGCGGCTGTCTGGGAGTTAAATGAGGCAGCCAGTCAGCTGCCAGGTAAGAGAAAAGGAGTGATGACAAAGGGAGACACGGGAGGGATGTTGTCAGCAGATCTCCCTATCTTTTAAATAGACTCCTGTGCTGGGTAGTTGTTAGGCGTTTGGCGTTTTGATGTGAATCCCCTACAGTCTTGTCATTTTTTGCACTTATCCCCTGTCTCCCACCATGAGCACAATTACAGAGAAGAAATGGAGCCTCAGATAAGAACTGCCAGCTGCAGTGCTGCCAATGGCTTCTCGTTGCATGGCACCCGCCCCGCATCCCAGGCTGCTCAGTCTGTCGCATCATACCTTATGTACTGGCTGCTCCCGGGAGGTTCTTTCCCAAACCTTTCCTGCACGTTCTTTTGCTGGGTTCTAGGGACTGTGCTTAAGCCCAGGTCATTTCTATTCAAAAGGGAGAAAATCTAATTCTGATGCGGAAGGGCATGAGCAATGATGAGGGAGAGAAGTGACATTCGTTTGGGGCTTATTATATTTACATCCTATTTAATTGGCTGTGTCCCAAATTTGTTTTCTTATTTACCTTCATAATAATGCCCTGAGGTAGGTATTATCTCCATTTAGCAGTAGAGGGGATGGGGGCACAGAATTGTTAGTAAGTTGTAGATGGCAGAGTTAAGATTTATGTCTTGCCTTTCTGACTGTCGTCACAAGCACTTGGCGACATTACCTTTTGTTCCTTTTAATGTGGAGGAAACTGAGGTTCAGGGAGGTTGAAGTTCATTGCATAAGGAAGAAGCAGAGCCAGGATTTGAAACCCAGTCTTAACTGACTGCAGGGCCCATGGTCCTGCTGCTGAATTGTACCTTCTATCATCTGTGTGATGATGTGCCAGCTTCGTGTGTGAAATTGGGCTTCCTAATAGTGGTTTTCTAGATAAGGTATTTCTGTCACTTATTTAGGAAGACAGCTCACATCTGCGGGGATCTTAGGAGGTAATCTCGAGCCCATCACTCTCTCCCAGTCAGAGCCGGTTTTCCGCTTTTCTCAGCCCTATTCCAATCTGGAAGCTGCTCATGAAAAGATAGGCCCTTATCTTCCTTAGTTGTGCAGTTCAGGTACTTACCCAGTTCATTTTCCCCATAAATCTAGGTTTTTGTTTCTGTTGCTACAATTAAAGTCTGCTTCCTTCTCTTGTTAAATTGGTTTTCCAGTGGAATGCTTGTATTTGGGGGCGGAATTAATTGTACCTAATGAGTATGTTGTCTCTCTCTCCCATCTTAGCTACTACCGTTTGTGATCTGGACACCCAGTTTCGTTGCCAGGAGTCCGGGACCTGCATCCCCCTGTCCTACAAATGTGATCTCGAAGATGACTGTGGTGACAATAGCGACGAAAGTCACTGTGGTAGGGGACATGATGTCCGGGAACCCTGTTCCAGTGGGGGCAGTGCCCTGACTCACTGGGATGTACTAGTGGATGGAGGCGGGGTGGTCAGAAAGCCATTTTGGGACTTATGATGTCCAGCTGCATGATCACCTCAGGCCACGTAGTAGGATTGATTCATGCATAAAGCGATGGCTCCTGCTTTACTTTGCAGAGATGCCCTAAGCATGAATGTGATAGTAAGGACGTAAGATTTCTAAATGAACTCTGGCGGTTATTAGCAGCTTTTCAGACATGGCCCACACCTCTGGGTGGCTGAAGAAACCGATCTATACCTTTGGGAATGTTTTCTTTTTTTAAGCAATCTAATTCAAAAAACTCAATTAGAAGTCAGCAGATGGTACAAACATTGTTTGAGCATCTGTTTTCTGAATGGAAATTTTTAATATTTAGAAAAATAGTGTGTTGGAATTGCAAGAGATGATAAGGGATTCCCTAGTTTAGGCCTTTGAATTTCCAGAGTCAATGACAGAGGTCTGTAGAGGTCAGGGAACTAATTCAAGGTGCCACGATTGGTTCATGTCAGAATGGGACACTGGAACCCATGTTCCCCTTGCCCTTTCAGTTGTATAGTACTACCCTCTCTGTTTCACAAGGCCTGTCTTTGTTAATGGGCACTGTTGCCAGACTCCCAGTTATGGACGGTCGAGGGAGGAAACATGCAAGGCACATAGTACATGAGATTGGAGGAATCACAGGTGTGAGAGGGAGGTGAGGCTGGAGGCCAGGTTGCTGACCCGACATTGTGCTAAGCTGGTATGGCCCCGCTGGGCTCCCTGTCCATCCACGGGGGCAGGTCCAGACAAGCTGAGCATATGCTTGCGGACAGGTCCTGCTCTATCATGAGTAGGTAGTTTGACTCACAGGAATTGAAATAAGGGGGCAGGGTGAAGGCTCCTAGGTGGCCCTAAGAGGAATTTTTTTTTNACCCTTCAGTTTGTTTCTGCATAGCTGTCAGTGGCACTGGTGTTGGCTTGTCCCGCATCGCCCTTGACACTCGTGCAGTATAACTTTTCTCCCAGCCCCAAAGCGCCGGCTACTCTGTGGCCTTCCAACATCCCCATTCCACATTCCCTGGAGGACCAGCTGACGCCTAGCTTGGTTCTGGGGCATTCTGATCTAGCTAAGGCTATGTGTGGGTCAGGCCTTTTCTGAGGGCTGTGAGCAGAGGTTGTCAGTACAGTCGGCACCCTGCCTTGCCACTTCACCTTTTCGTTTTCTGAGCTTCACATTGTCCTGTCCGTAAAACGAGGAGGTGGCGTCGGGCCCCAGGTCTCCGTTTAGTGCTCCTGGTGTTGATTAATGTTGATGCTGCCATTGTGTGTCTTCTCTCTAGGAAGCAATGCCTGTGTGCCCAGGCCATGCAGCCTGCTGTGCCTGCCCAAGGCCAACAACAGTAAGAGCTGCAAGTGTCCAGAGGGTGTATCCAGCAGTTTCCTCCCATCCGGGGACCTGATGTGTGAGTGCCCTCAGGGGTATCAGCTGAGGAACAACACCTGTGTCAAAGAAGGTGCGTCCCTTTTCCTTGTCTGCTCACCACTCTCCTTCCCTCTGTTATCCTCTCTCCCAGTGCTCTCTATTCCCTAACGTTCCCCCCACTCTCTTTGGGAGGAGGGGGTATTAAAATTGCCCAAGCAAAAATGAAAATCCACCAGATATTTGTAGACATATGGTTCAGGTTCTAAGGCCTGTGGTACTTCAGTCCTCATCCAGAACAGCCCTAAGCTGTTTATTTTAAAATACTAGCTATGCTTTTGGTTTACTGTCAAGTGACATAGGCTTTCCTTTCTTTTCTTAGTCTGCTACTTCCTCTCCTTGCCCATCCCCCACACCTGAGCTCACCAACTTCTACTTCCCATAAATTGGAAAAAGAACAGATTTGACTTCTTCACGGTTTACCTAGTCACCCCCACCTCCAGTCAGAAATGTCCTGAACTTTCATACGAACATTACCAAGGCCTTTGAGTCTTTATTTCCAAGCTGTAACCAGGTGGCTCTGGTAGCTTCGTCCCACTCTGCCTTTGAATTTGAATACACGGATTCTAGACTTTTCCTCTGAAAACCTCTTTCTTCTTTTTTTTCCTGTCTAATTTTTACTCTTACCACTTCCCCAGTCCCCAGCCGCATATTTCTGTCAGTGAGGTGAACCCCTGGAAGGGGTCCTTGCCACAAAGTGCCCGATTAATGGCCCAAATTCTGCTTTTCCTTATTCTCAAGGCTGTATTTGCTTTGTAATCATAACCTCCCTTCTCACAGCAGCCTCTTAGTCTAGGACAGTGAAACACAAAGTCGCCTTATGGTCTCTCTTCCTTAAGAAATACAAATAGAAGAAAGATGAGCCGTCCCTTTTAGACACAGGAACCTCTCTTTCAGGCTCTGGAGGTCATCTTAAAGCTATTTGGAAAGACACAGAGTTAAACACTAAATTCCAAGAGGAAGGGGAAGAAGCCTTTTTTATTGGGTTGTCGGAAAAGCCATGATGTATTTTATCTACGTTTTTCGTTGCAAAAATGTGTCATGANAAGAAGAAGATTGTGGGGTTTTTGTTTGTTTGTTTGTTTTTTGCTCAATAATTTTATCACTGTCTAGGTACTCAATTCCTATCTGTTAAAAGAAGAAGGGATGAAAAGGTGGGGGAGGAGTTGCCGGTGGGTGTAGACAGTAGCTGTTTTAAAGATTATTGGCTGAAGCTTCAGGAACTGCTAGGAGGTTGACCTGCTGGTCCTGGAATCTGAGGCTATTCAATGGAAAGCCTTCTTCCTTACTTGACTGCCCTTTGCCTTTGTTTATCTCCCAACCATACTATTGATCCTACAGGAGAGAGATCAGGGTACTCCAAGAAGAATAGTCCTTTTAAGAAATGCCCTCTTTATCTCAGCAGGATTAAATAGCATCCTGGGTCTGCTGACTCTCCTTTATTGACAAACTGCTAGGTTTCCTGTTTTGAACTAGAATGTTGACATTGTTTTGTGGGTTTTGGCTGGTCCTGTGCTAAGAGAAAATTGACAAAGGGAAATAATATGGTTTTAGATATCATTGTTATCCTTTGGGGACCAGTGAAGATAGCATGAGAACACCCTTAGAGGAATATAAAGTATCCTTGAACTGTAAGTCAGTATTATTGTGATGTTTTCACAACTGACCTGCGAGGTGGGCAGGGCTGGTATTAGGATCCATGGTTTACAGATTAGGGAATGAAATCTCAGATATGAATTAGCTTTCGCAAATGTCACTCACTAGTTTAGGAGCTGGGCTTTTGTTCCAGTTCTGCCACTAAATGGGGAAGTCACATTCTTTCTTAGAGGAGGTGCCTGTTTCAAAATCAGGAGAGATAAAGGAATCATGCTTCTCGGCTCCAGTAACTGAGATCTCAGGGCCTTTGATGGATGACACCCACCCCTACTGATCTACCTTGCTAGCAAGCTGAGTGAATTGTCACCATTTCTCTAAGTGACCACCCAGTACAGAAGAGTGGGTCTTCATTTTGACACGTGCTTGTAAGCATGCGTTTGATGAGCACACAGCAGCTCCTAAAACACTGTGTTCAGATGAACCAGTGACCCCTGGGCTCCCCACTCCCCAATCCTGGCTGGGCACTTCATCCCAGCTGACATACAGTTACACCGTCATACCAGGGGTGTCTGTTCCCACTCAAAATGAAGGCAACTCTGAGGCATGAAGGGGAAATCACGACCTGTCTTCTGCTTCCTGGAGACCTCTTGCCACAGACATAAGGCCAAGGAAGTAAGTTTGTAACCTCTCAGACAGACCAGAACCAAAAACCAAAACCAAAGCTTTTGCAATAGCATCTGGCTGCCAGCACTGCGTCTATATAGAGTGGGTATCTCTTGGCCTTGAACTTGTCTGCTCTATCCTGCCTGCTTTTTTTGGACATAGAGTATTGCAAATTCATGATGTGTTTTGGCAACCCTTGGTGCCAGTCAATCTATTATTTTTGTTGTCTGTTCCTAACACATGTAGGGCTTCCTATTAGTATAAAATAATAATGATAATAACTACATTCAGCAAGAGATTGCTGTGTCATAAGTACCACACCAATGTGCTTTGTGGGCTTGTATAACCTCAGTTAATCTTCCCCAAATCCATGTGTACTGTTAACATTTCCACTGTACAGATGAGAACATGAAAGTCGGACTCAGTAACTTTTCTACATCACGCATTTAGTAAGTGGTAAGAATTTGAACCCTGGCCCCGTTGACTTCAAAGCTTGACTTCAATAAGGCCATCAACTCTGCTCCCTCTGTCACCTGCTTTTGAAATGGCAGGGCCCTGATATACCATAGTGATTTAGAAGTACTCAATTTTGATTGGTTCTCATTTATGATAAAACTTTTGTTCTCTTGGAACACTTGTCAATTTGGGATATTTGGTTATAAACGGATGCATTTCTTGCCTTTATACCTGGCTGATTTTTGCGTAATATTACTGGAATATATTCTTCATAAAGAGTGTTTTTTTCTTTAAACAGCTTATTTTGCAAGACTATCGATGTATTCAATTGATGCTCCAATGGGTTAAATATTTTGGAGCTCTTGGAGTTCTCCTTCAGAGCCTGCAGTAAGCACATGCTTTTAAGTATCTATAATGAGATTGAATATGTATTATATGGGGGTAGATATGATTTTGATAACTGTCAAGTGCATAGATAACTAAACAAGATAATAGCATTTTTGGTTCCTAAACTGGTTTTGGAGGAATTTTCCAAAGAATATCTGAGAATGTTCTGAATATGCCTAGTGAAGACATCACAGGGCTCAGTGTTTGGTCTTGTAAGGGGACATCTTTGGAGATGAAGGCTGTCACTTGTCCACTCTTCACATTGGGATGATGCTTTCCCTGTTGTCCTCCTTGCCCACACAAGGCCCTGGTGTCCTGTATGAGGGTCTTGGCCATGTCCCGGGGGAGGTCNAGGTAACAACCCCCCAACCCCCATCTATTGCCCTCCCACCCCCGATATCATGCTTATCTATTACAATTCCATTGAATCCGTTCCCGCTCTCTACTCCATGTCCCGAGACTATATGTATATATAATTATAGTTGACATATTATTCAAGGGAGGAATTTTTTTTGAGGTTACATAATTTTCATTCAATTATATAAAAATATAAAGTTCCAGAAAACAGTCCTTGGGATTCGCAGCTGTTTTCCTCTCATTCCTCCCATTTCCTTCCCAGCAAGTCTGAGGGTGTTAACGTGCGTGGCTAGTTTTGCTCTAGGAGAAAAGCTCCATGTGGTTACGTGTTTCTGGTGTCATCTCACTCACGGGTCACACATTTGAGCATTCAACAGTTCCTGTGCCCTCAGGTTTCCCGTTCATGGCCCATTTGTGTTAGTGTGACTTGACTCCATCCCGAAGTCTCAGTTAGTCCCTTCTTCAGAGCCAGGTCCTCTTCATAAGTCTCCAGACTGTTTCCTCATAAATAGCTGATTCACCAACTTCACAATCGACCCGTCTCTTCAGTGAGGCAACTGAGAACAGCCATCCTGAGCTCCAAGCTTAGCTATTACATTTTTGTAGAATCCTTGAAATTTCATCTGAAGCTTCTTTAATGCTATCTTCAGGGCCTGCAGAAGATGTTGCCAGTGTAGCGTCCTTTCAAGTCTTGGTCAGGCTGTGCTGTTTCATTTGCCTCAGGCCCCCACCCTTCTAGAGACATCCCACCAGCCACCATCCCTGGAGTCTCGCTCACAGGAACTCCCTAGCATGTGTTTCCTCTATTTTGGAAGTTCAGCACTGATCCCACTTTCCCTGAGCTGAGCATCTCGTACTGATCACCACACTCAAGAGTTTTCACTACTCCTTGTCGGAACCCACAGGTTCTGTCTCTAGAAGTCTTCTGTTCCTTGAAAATTCTACTTTCTTGGCGACTAGGGGTTGCCTCCCAACCTTCTTCCCATAATAGCAAGCAGAGAAAAGGATAATATTTGCAAAGTGCACCAAGATCCAATGGGCGAGGCTTCTCTTGCCTAGAGGCAACCAGTGGCAAAAGTGTGAGGCGTCGGTATCTCAGCACAATTGTACCCCATTTGCAGCACATAGCTGGAAAGCATCCTCAGTGACTTTATATCCCTGGTTAAAGTCTCTCCATCCATCTCTGGATCCTCAGTGATAATGGGTATAATAGTGCATCTCTAATCCTTAGGAGCTTTGACAGGACAGCAGAGAAAGAATTCTGAGCGAACTCTTTTCCTCACACCTCTATGGTCTCACCTGCAGAAATGCACCAGTGCCGGAGTGACGAATACAACTGCAGCTCTGGCATGTGCATCCGCTCCTCCTGGGTGTGTGACGGGGACAATGACTGCAGGGACTGGTCTGATGAAGCCAACTGTACTGGTCAGTATTTCCTGGACTCCCTTCACAGCATGCGTCTGTTCATGTGCTGGTTAGCGTTGCAGCCCTCTATGATCATAGAATCCAGGCTCTAAGAAATGGACCTTAGAAATCAACTAGTTCAGTGCTTCTCAAAGAGTTGGTCTATGATAAGCTTGTGCCAAAATGTGAATCAACACCCAGCTTCCTTCACTGAGAGTGTCTTGCTATGAAAAAGTGTTAACTAAACAGCATCCCAAGTGATACAGTTGATTTACATTCTGGCTCAAGCTTCTTATTTTTTCAGGACCAGTAACAAACAGTTTACAGACCAGTCCCTGCTCTCGGGACCATACATTGAGTGCCACTGAACTACTTCATGTTTTCGAACGGAGCATCAGTGGGTTCCCCAAACAGTGAAAACTTAACCTGTGCTTATACCTGTTTGAGGTAAGATTTCATTAAAAATAAAGTTGGAAAAAACATGAGAATACCAGAGAAAGGCTAGGTAGTGTAAGGTAGAAGCAATATTCTAATTCTTCTGTTGGGTAAAATGTTCACTCATGTTTGTTACACTTTTTATTATGATAGATGATAGATAGATAGATAGATAGATAGATAGATAGATAGATAGATAGATAGATAGACAACAAGAAACATTGATAGAAAGTAAGAAAGAAGGCCATATACATTATAGTGGAGTAGCAGGGAGGTAGCAGGGAGTTGGGGAAATTGTCAAAGCATTAAAAAAAAAAATTTTAATACCTGATGAGTAAATTTTCTCTGCAACCTCCACTAGAAATTGTCATTGGGCTGTACTCAAATCCCTTCAGTGATGGAGATAAACATGTTTTGTTTAACCATTATGGCGAGGGCAGGTCTGCTCTGACACCATGGGAATTCAGACTTTGTTCTACAGTTCATTGTTAATGAGTTAATGTCTCATTCGTCTGGTATGGATGGTTATTCTTGTGAAATAGTGGAGTGACTTTTAAATTCCATGTCTTAATCTTCCTTCCCTTACCTGCCCCCCTCCCAGCACCCCAACAGTTTTTATACTGCCCAGCATCTGGAGCTCAGAAGCATGCCTACTTATTTATAAAAGCAAATAAAAAGAAGATCTGTTATCATATGCCAATCTCAAACATAAATAACTGTGCTTTGACTTAGATATGATTCCTGAAGGGCACCTCTCTTTCACCTCTTTGTGTTCTCCCAGTTCTTAGCACCTGGTAGAGTACACGTTCAGAGAACCTGTAAGGACTGGGTGATTTGACACACTGCTTCTCTGCATTCTAGTTTAGGCATGACTTCGTGTGGCCTTGAGGAGTAAATGGATCTCCTCAAATGCCATATACATCACACAGGATGATCTGTGATGTTACCAGGTATCCTTCCCTTGTAAACATCCCCCGTATTCATTTTGCTGCAGTCTCAGTGTCTGCACCTCTGCTTCTGGAAGGACTGCAGGAAAGTTTCTTTCCATATACAAGCCTGGCCTGAAGAAGGAGGAAAATCCAAGGTCCATGAAAGGATTGGCGTCATCCTAGGAAGCATATGAATGCTGTTTGGAAGCATTGGGTTTGGGTAGATAATTGGTTAATAAATTAGACGGGTGCACTTGGGCATTTCAGTTTGTAAATTGCAGGATGATTGAACATCTTGTTAGCACAACCACATTAGTCAAACTTGTGTTTCAGCTGCGTGTGCTGTCCTCCAGAATGAATTAACAACTTCATTTCTATGGGTGGGCTTGTCATAGACTCCTGGTTTTATCTCTGGCTAATTGGAGAAAAAGTAGAGTGCTTGTACTTTAGCTGCAGCCTTGGTTACAGTGGCTGTTCTTCCAAACTTTTTTTTTTTTATTAGTTTCAGGTGTACAAAACAACATAGTGATTCTTCTTCTCCATCGTCTCAAAATAGTCGGAGGTCAGATGTAAGCACATTATGTGTGACGTGTCACTTCCTTTCTTGACCTAATAAATGAAGTCATGTGCAAAGCCAAAGAAAATAGTTTGGAGCCAGCTGACTTCCTGTTGGCCTCAGCTTGTATGCATGGTCTGTGCCTTGCATTTTGTTTGCTCTCCTCCTCCCCTCCTTTTGTTTTCCGTGGGATTAAGGGCTTTTCTTTCTTTTTTTTTTTTTTAATTCCCTTCTCCCCACCTCTCTGTGTTGATTTGAACTTAAACATTTGATTTCTGTTCTTTTAGCTGTTATCCTTAGACATCTTATGTGTATTCTTAATATCTTTCCTCTCCTAAACCTGCAAGAACTTCAGAATATTTCTATTGTAATCTCTGCACAAAGTTCTAATACTAACATACTTAGTAAATACTTAGTATTTTAGTTTTACACTTTGAAAGTCCTGAAATTAGTAATTATTATTTTTTAGTAACCAAACTTACCTATAGGTACCTACCTGTTCTTCAGTTACTTTTGCTTCTTGTATCTAGTGCTTCTTTTCCTTGTACATCCTTCACTGTTTCTTGCAGTGGGAGACTGCAAATGGTAAACTCTTTAAAGATTTTGTTTATATAAACATGTCTTTAGTTCAGATGTATCTGGATTTCTAGGTTTGTAGTAATTTTCCATAAGTATTTTGATGGAATTCTATCTCCTTCTGGCATCTTTTGTGTTGATTTGAATTCTCCTGTTTGATTATCTTTTGAACAACAATCAGACATTCTTTTCTCTCTAGTTTTGTTTTTGTGTGTATATGTGTGTGTGGGCGGGGGAGGGAGGGCTGTTTAATTGCAGCTTCACTAACCTACATATGGAATTATTATTTTATTTTTATTTTTTTTTAATTGGGGAACTGGGGGATGGGAACGGTGCTGGGGAGTTGGGGGAAGGAGAACAGACAAGTTGCTGTCGTTTTGTTCTTCAGTCTAGTTGTGGAGGACGTTGCCTCACTGGCCCAAGTTGGCCCCATCATTGCGCTCTTCCCAGGCGAGGCAGATCAGTCGCTGGCTTCTGGATGGCCGCTCACGGCAGCTGCTGGCCGCTCATGCTGGCTGCTGGCTACAGATGATAGCCCATGGCAGCCCACTGCAGCAGGGGCTACAGCCTACGCTGTCGCTGGTGACTCATGGCAGCCCAGCTCCAGGTTGAGCTGTTGTTCAGCATCTCAGCTGTAGAGGGCAGTGTCACTGGCCCTCATATGTGGGATCCGAACCGGGGCCCTCTGGCGTCCCAAGCCAGCTCTTAACCAATGCGCCACTCGGCCNACCTGAAGGGTTCATAATGGGAAGGCCCTGGGGAACAGGGGAGACTGCTCAGCACAAGAGCTATTGGGGAAGTCACATCAGGAACTTACGCTTGCCTGGGATTCTTCAGGCTGTTCTCTAGCTCTTGCGCTTGCGTCAGGGGCTGGTGTGCAGTTTCAGGCCCCTGCATGCTGCTTGGCCAAATAAAATGGATGTCAAGGCAGCAGTACCATGAAGTAGCTTAGCTAAACTCTCCACGCTATGGAATTTTCTTTGAAATATCCCATCCATTGATTTTCTTTCCACAGAGAGTAGCTGAACACCTATTATTGCTCAGGTATTAATGTTAGAGATTCAGAGATGAGTAAGACACAGTTCCCACCCTTGAAGAGCTTGTAGGTCACTAAGTAGTGATGACTTTTCATTGCATTAGTCTTCTAGGGTTGCCATAACAAAGTCTCATAGACTGGGCAGCTTCAACAACAGAAATGTATTGTCTTACTGTCCTGGAGGCTGGGAGTCTGAGATCAAGGTGTCTGCAGGGTTAGTTTCCTCTGAGGTCTTTCTCCTTGGCTTGGAGATGGCTGTCTACTCCCTGTGTCTTCTCATGGTCCTCCCTCTGTGTGTATGTGTCTGTGTTCTAAACTCCTCTTCTTATAGGGAAATCAGTTACATTGAGTTCAGGCCCACCCCAATGACCTCATTTTAACTTAATAACTTCTTTAAAGACACTGTCTTCAAATACAGTCCTGTTCTGAGGAACTGGGAGTTAGGATTTTACCATACGAATTTGGTGGGGGGCAGAGGACACATAGCTCAACCCATAACATTCATTCTCTGTGGATTACTGACATGGATAAATGCTCTCTACAGTCAAAATGAAGTTTGACTAGAAAGTATTGTAACTGGTTTTCATGTGTGTCTTCTAACCTGGCTCTGAGGGCAGCTGTCACATAAGACAGGATCCAGAAACATCTTGCATATGCCCACAGTAAGTCATTAAGGAGTCTGCTTTGAAGGCGAGTCCATTCATTTGGATATAAAAGTGCTGTGATGTTAGAAAATAAGTCTTCTTCCTTTGTAGTCATACCCATGGTACTCTTGTTTTATGAGAAGTCAAGGCAGCAGGTGCTGTCCTTGACAATTAAGATCTCAACATTGGAGGCCCAGGGCCTCCCCACATGATTCCATCCTGCAGCCCTTGTGGGCCACAAATCTATGTAAGACTCGACCAAGCTGTGTTCTGGTATGTGGACAGCACACCTTGCATTCTGGAAGAGGGGAAAGGTTTCTTGTCAACGTGAAGACCAAGCTAAATAGCCTTTTCCCATTGATAGGTCACAATGCCAGCTCTAGATTCTTTCTTGTCCTGTTCTAAGATCAGGGAAATTCCTCCAGTTGACCAGTATGCAGATGGGTTTTTAACCTCAGTTGACTCTTTTCTAGTGCCAGATGCCCCTCAAAATCTCCAGCTATCGCTCCACAAGGAAGTGGAAGGCGTGATTGTGGGCTATTGGACTCCTCCCAACCACACCCATGGCCTCATTCGAGAGTACATTGTAAGTTTCCTCCAGGAGCTGGTCCTGTGGGTTGGGGTGTGTAGGAGATATTTGGGTCTGTTAGAGCAGAAGCATGTTCTGTGTGACTAGGACTTGATTTGGTGTCACTTTATAAATAAGGAACCATCTCTTAGAACATTTTGCATTCCTGTTCTCCTCTCTCTTCTGGCCTGCTTGTAGGATGTTAGGATGCCTCAGACCTGTGGTTACCCTTTAATAAAATACTTTTCTCCTCCCTTTAGGTAGAATATAGCAGGAGTGGTTCCAGGATGTGGGCCTCCCAGAGGGCTGCTAGTAACTTTACAGAAATAAAGAACTTACTGGTCAGCGCGCAGTACACCGTCAGAGTGAGTCTTAGCACCCATTTCATCCATCAGCTCAGCCTTCGAACGTGGGGAGAGGGGTGCTGTTCCCTGAGAGATGCTTATTAGCAGTCTGCTGATGACCCAACTCCTTGCCCTGGTCGGGGAGCTGGGGATGGGAGAGGTGTCATTATCTCTTTCAGTCTCTTAAACCAATGTCACAGAGGACTTGAAATCAGACTTCCCTCAGATTACTGAGAATTTATGGTAATGCTGCTTTACGTGCCTTTAAGCCAGAGACTGCTAACTTTCCTCCTAGTACTCTTTTGCACTCACCTCTTTTCTGCTTATCTGTAGCTGCAGGGTAATGCAGACCTATGATAAGTGGCATTTATAAACTGATGTTGTGGGGTTCTTATGAAATATATTATCACTATCTTTAGCAGAAAAGACATAGAATTTGTGCAAAACATGTTTGTTGAGACCATTAAGTGCATACACAGACTTCCTTAAAATGATAATTTCCCCAGCACTTTCTCATATATGTGTGTACACTTATGTGTGTATATATGGACACACATACACTCACATTCCTGCCCTTTAGACAGACCTTGACATCTATCAATCAGTAGACATTTCGTAATCGCAGCGCTCGCCCCATTCCCTTTTTACTCCGGCTTCCTTCTCATCGCCTCTTTCCTCCTCTTATTTCAGTTGCTGGGGCCTCTGAATAGCCTGGATCCTTCTGTATATACTTTTTTTCCAACCCTCATGGCCAAAGTCTCACCATTTAGCTTACTTAGAATTCTTGCTGTATGGTATATTGCCTTTATTTCATACTAATTCACACTCTGATTTGAAAAGGTGGCTGCAGTGACTAGTCGTGGAATAGGAAACTGGAGCGATTCTAAATCCATTACCACCATAAAAGGAAAAGGTAAATGATTCCAGCGTTTGCAGATTTAGTGAAGACAGCAACCCTGTGGAAGTAACTTTCAGTATGACTGGAAAATGGAGAAGTATAGGTTAGAAAATTTCACACAGCCTCCTTTCCCCAACACATGCGCTTCTCTGGGTGTCTTCACAGTGCCGTAGGTACAGTATTTTGGGGTGACTGTTGAATGTATTCCTCCTCCTAGAACTGTGCATTTCTCATAATGCAAACATACAGAGNTGTAGAGGGCAGTGTCACTGGCCCTCATATGTGGGATCCGAACCGGGGCCCTCTGGCGTCCCAAGCCAGCTCTTAACCAATGCGCCACTCGGCCGGCCCGGTATGGAATTATTTTTATTTATCCTGCTTGAGCCTTGTTTTCCTTCTAAAATCTTAGATTTATGTTTTTTATCAATTCTGGAAAATGACAGCCACTGTCTTTTCAGTTGTGTCTACTTGCTTTCTCTGGTTTTGTCTTTAGCAGTTACTGGCAACCATGTTGGACTCACTCTCTTGTTCCTGCCTCCTGTTTTCGTATTTGCTGTCTCTTTATGACTCTGTGCTAAAATTTGAGTTACTTCCTCAGATTTCTCTTTCAGTTCAACAATTCTCTTTTCAGCTGAATCTAATCTGCTGTTTCACATATCCACTGAGCTATTTTTATTTTCATGACTTTATTTTTTTTTTTTTTATATCTAGAATTTTTATTTGGTTGTTTTTCAGATCCGCCTTTTATTTTTCAGGGCTCTTCTTTATGCTCTATGTTATTTTTTATGTCATTAATCATTCAAGTTGTGTTAATATTAGCATTTCTTTTCCCTCATTCACGTCTAACAGTATAGGGCTTTGTAAAAATGAGGCAGTGCTTTCCTCATCATAGTAATTAATTCATCTCTTCTGCCCCACTTTTATTTGGTTAATGCTTTTGATCAGGTGTTATAAAGGATCTGTCCAAGTCAGAGAGTAAGTTATAGGATAATGGCCTCTACTAGAAACCCTGTTGTTCTAATTTCATGATCAGTTACCCCATTAGCCCTTCCATTCTTATAGTCATGATGAATCTTGCCAGGCAAAAGAATCTTTTTTTTCTTCCCCAAATACTTTAGTCTGTATTAAACTTAACCTCTCCCATTCTTATAATTAAAAAAAAAATCTCTAATTGAATGTGTAGTATTTACGAAACTTGGTGACAGAGAGCTAGCAAGTTACTCAGAAGACAGAAAAATTCAGAACAAGAGAATGTGTTAAGCATTCTAGTCATACCTGGCCACTTGAATAAAATTGCGCAAACTGATTAGTCTTTCTGAGCTCAGCTCCCGTGGTAGAATCTGGAGATCTCAGACATGCCCCCCAGAATTGTAATTTGGAAACTCCATTGTTTCAACTCCATGAAAAACTCCAAGGCCAGTCCTAGCCATTTGGAAACTTGAAAATTGTTTTCAATTAAAAGGGAAATGCATAGGCTGAATAATAACAAGTACATCAGTATGGCAATGAGTTTAGGCAACTATATTTTATGAAAGTGAGCAAGGCATTGGTAAGGAGTTTTTTAAAGGGCTGTCAGACTTGTAAAACCAATAGATCAAAAATATTCCAGGCGATGACTGGGCAAAAGCTCATGAAACACGCGTGATACATGTATTCCTCTTACCAGAGAAAAGTATACGTATTTAAAAAAGAGGTTTTTAATGGATTCTGAATGCCAAAGGTTGTGATATACTGAGACTTTCTGTAGACTTGTTTGCATCTTACTAGATAGCCTTGTCTTCAGAAAGATAAGAAGACAATAATTAATAGACCACCACTTGCGTAAGTGGCTTGAAAAATCAGGTTCTTTGTATTTCAGACTATTGGAAAAAACAACCTCAGATTCAGTAGAAATTCTAGAGGGCATTGGAAGCCAATTTTCCCAACCCTTGAGTAACTTATTGCCAACCATCTCGATAGAATAAATAACTATAGTTTGTGTGCCACAACCCACTTTTGTTTGTTTTGCCTCCTTCTGTGGTAAAGACATCCTGTCCACACAGTTAAACTAACAGAGAACCCATCTATCTTGGTTATATTATTTTATGCTGGTTGTAAACAAGGCCAGTCCTGGCTTTTATACAGCAGTGAACAGACACAAACAGCTTTCTGTTTTAGAGGAGGAAGGGGAAATCTGATGGAAAAGCTATTAGTAGTATTGGTTGGATTTGAGGCAGATGTTATACAGTTGAACTAGTCTTGGATCAAGGTTTTGAGATGTTTCTAAATGACTTCCAGGTGGCCTCAGCCCATGTATGCAAATAAGGCTGTCCATTTATAACAGTGACTTTCTGTTTCACTTGCCTCTTGTTTTCTTTTAATGATTGTAGTGGATGACGTGTGTTGTTGCCTGGTAAATGTTGCTCTCGACTGTCCAGAAATTTAGACAATTCTAGGTTCTGGGGACTGCTTTCTTTGTGATTTTAGATAAGCCTTTTATGCTCTTTGGACTTGAGGTTTTCCAGCTTTGAAATTGGGTAGTTTATTTCAATAAATATTTTATAATAGAGTTATAAAATCATAGCCTTTCAGAGCTTAGAAGGGTCCTTAGATATCAATATAGTTGATGAAATTGAGGCCCCCAAACAGTGTCTGGACCAGGTCTAGAACCCAGTCTCCTGAGCACATTTCACCCCTCCTTATCTGCAGAGTCTGGAGGATGGAGAGGATTTATGTGAGAAGATAAAGTAGCAAAGAAGAATAGAAGAAGCACAGGCTTTGAACTTGGACAGCCCTGGTGCTATTACTTATCTTTGTGAATGTGGGCAAGTGACTTAATCTCGCTGAGCCTGTTTTTCATCTGCAGAAGAATAATTCTTAGCTTCATTGTGGAAAGTGAATGACTTTTGAACATGTACATCTGTGCTTGTGTAACATTTATAAACCCATTGACTCAAGTTGTTGCCCACTCAGGAGGCTGCACTCCACCTTAGGGATAGCCCCAGGTGCCTCTGTCCTTGCTTAGGAGACACTCAGATGCTCGAGTTCATAGCTTATTACCTAGCACAGTCCTTCTTTTCAGGCAACCCCTTGATAGTTTATGGGGGGAGCAGAGATGAGGGGAGCATTGACAGTTTCTCTCTTCTCTTTTGCTGGCAGCCATCTATCACACCTGTGAGGCCTCCAACTTCCAGTGTCGCAATGGGCACTGCATCCCCCAGCGGTGGGCCTGTGATGGTGACATGGATTGCCAAGATGGTTCTGATGAGGATCCGACCAACTGTGGTAAATACAAATGCTTTGGCCCTCACCCAGAGCTTTACCAGTGTCTGCTGTTCAGGAAGAGGCAACAGATGGGCCAGGAAATGAAATACTGTTCTGCTGTGCCCGTGTACTCACTCTGACAACTAAACATGCCCGCCCACTTTCTACATATGTGGCAATGCTATAGGATATTTAGGAGTGTGTTATGCAGTCTTAATTCTCTGTCGAGCAGTTTGCCTCACTGCTTTTCCATAACAGCTTTGAAGAAAAGAAATGGAAACCAACTAATCCACCCAGAGTGTGAAATACAGTCACATTACCAGTGTTCTGCCAGAAACTAGCCAAGAACAGTGCCTGTATAAACAACATACTTTATGACTAAGAGTTCTCTGTTATGGTCCTTAGGGAAAATGGCTAACCACCCGAAGGTAGAACTTTAATTCATTTAAAAAAGAATTCTGAAATAGTCACCTCCACAAAAGAAATTAACCATGAAATAGCTGCCACAAAAATACAATATATAAAATGCTTTTTTACACCAGAGAGTTTTAGGGTTCCCTATCCTTATCCCTTTGCTATATGTCTATAGGAAAAATCCCCTGTGTTTCTCCTCTACTCTCACTACTCAATACTTCTGACACTTCTTGGCCACTAAATGTGTGTTTTCCACACCAAGCAGTTCTCCAACAATGGCTGAGTGTCCAACAATCCTGACACTATAGCGTCAGATCCCACAGGTTAAGGGCACAGTCCTGTAAGACTTCCCCCACCCCCACTTCAAATGCTAATCCTAAGTCCCAACCCCACCTGTACTTCTGATTGACCAGCTATAAATCTAGATTCCCACAACCTCCTTGAGTTTGATAATTTGCTAGAATGGCTCACAGAACTCAGGGAAACACATAGATTTCCTGGTTAATTATAAAAGAAGATGATAAAGGATAGAGACGAACATCCAGATGGAAGAGATGCATAGAGCAAGGGATGGAGAAGGACTGCGGCCCTGCCGTGCTCTCTCCAGGTGCCACCCTCCCAGCACCTCCACATGTTCAGCAACCTGGAAGCTCCCTGTGCCCCGTACTTCTGAGAGTTTTATGGAGGCTTCGTCACATAGGCATGATTGATCATTAACTCAGTCTCCATCTCTCTCTCCTTCCTGGAAGATGGGGGGTGGAAAGTTCTAAGCTTCTAATCTTGGCATGGTTTTTCTGGTGACCAGCCCCCATCCTAAAGCTATCCAGCAGCCCACCAAAAGTCACCTCATTAGAACAAAAGACACTCCTATCACCCAGGAAATTACAAGGGTTTTAGGAGCTCTATGCCAGTAACCAAGGGCAGGGACCAATATATGTATTTTGTATTATTTTACATGATACGTTCCAAATTTTCATAGAAATGTAGTCATTATCTACATGTTGCTATATATTACACTCGTTTCATGTCACAATATTAAACAAAGATGTTTCCATATTTTTTGTATTTTTCTGTAGTTATATGGCAGATGGCATATTCACTTCATATTACTATAATTCAGTTTACTTAGTTGAATCCTGGTTGGGCATTCGAGTGTTTTTAGTTTTACACTGTTACGCATAGTAAAACAATTCATATCCTTGGAAACAAAGGCTTATTTTTCCTTTGAGATACAGTTGTCCCTTGGTATCCACTGGGGATTGGTTCCAGGAACCCCCTCAGGTACCAAAACTTGCCAATGCTCAAGTGCCTTGGTTTGGCCCTTCGTGTCTATGATTCCGCATCTTCAGATTGAACCTCCTGTGGTTTTTTGACCCGAGGTTGGTGCAGTCTGCAGGTGTAGAACCTATGGATACGGAGGGCTGACCACTTCCCGGGATATGTTCTTCAATATGGAGCTGCAGGGTCAAAGGTTCTGATTGATTAATGGTTCTCGTTAAGTGTTTCTCCAAGTGATTATACTAAAAAAGCACCTCCAGCAGTAATATATTGTATGTTTACTCAAGCCTCCCTTGGTATTACATTTTATGTGTTTTGTTTTCACTAATTTAATGAGTGGGAGTTGTCTCATGTAATTTTAATTTTATACTTTTAAAAAACTTTTTATACTTAGTGATGTTATGTATTTTCCCACTCATGGTACTCATTTACTGTTTCTATTTGATGCCCTTCAAATAATTTCGTAGGAATGATGACTTTCCACAGGATTAAAACATATTTTCTTGCCTTACAACTGATCCTCCTGGAACTATTCTACCAAGAGTTGTGTTTGCAATGGCCATGACTGATCTGCTAGAACTGATTGTTAAGCCTAATGTCTGGCAGTAGCTCTCTGTTTAGGAGAAAGGGTGACCTAAGAATTCTTTGCTGAGTGAGAAGCCTAAGGTTCTTAACATTTCTAGGACAAACTTTTCCCTAAAGGGCTTTTAGCTTAGAACTCTTGAAGAATTAAGATGGTGAATGATTTAAGAGAGCTTTCAAAACCAGAGTTTATAATCAGGATTCATGTTTTTCTTTTTTCCATTCACTGAAGCTTTTCTTTTACTTTTCTTAAAAAATATATACTTAATTTTTTGAGTAGGTAACACATTCACACGGTTCAAAATGGAAAGAGTATAAATAGATAAAAGTGTAAAAAAGGAAACATTTTTCTACCTGAATGCCCAGTGCCCACCTTGTCCGCTTAGGAAACCATGATTGTAGGACTAAGAATATTTTTGTGCACATATGCAAATTTAAATATACTGTGTATTGTCTGATTTTACACAAGTAGTATGTTATGCACATTGTTTTGTACATTGTTTTTCACCTAACTGTATACCTAGGACATATTTTTACAGAGTGCTTCTTCTGTCTCTCTGTAACAGTCTAGTGTTGTAGCGTATAATAATTTATTACAAGATCCCCTATAGATGGACATGGAGGTGGTTTTCAGCCTAGTACAAACAGTGTTTCAGTGAATAACCTTGCACTTATGTTCTTTTTCACTTGTGTAGGTAGATTACATTTCTCCAAGTGGCATTGCTGGGTCACGGAATACACACACACACACACACACACACACACACACACACACACACACACACACACNGGTGTGTGTGTGTGTGTGTGTGTGTGTGTGTGTGTGTGTGTGTGTGTGTTGGGCGGGGGTGGGGGGGATCTCCTCTGTCTGCCATTCTGGGTGGGCAGAATGAAGATGCTGTAAACGACTCCTGACTCCAGGTGAGGGACCCACTTGGTGTTTCCTGAAGCCCCTTTTAACCTGATGACTCTTAATGGAAATTGGAGGCTTCAAAGGAGAAAAAAACTGGAAAGAAGCCAGACTAACCATAAACAGATGATTTTTGAGTTCCAAAAGAAAGAATTTCTAGACTTAGTTACCTGTCTCTCTTTTCTGGCCTGGTTCCCTCCTCCTCTGCTAATATGAGGTATCACAGGGCCTGGTGCATAATTGGTGGTCAGTAAATATTTGTTGAATGAAAAGGCAAACACACTGAGCTAAGCGAGGAAGGAAGGGAGTGAGGGAGGGCTCTAAACCCTCATATCTGTGCGAATACTGAGTCTCAGTTAAAAATCTCATATCTGAAAATGAGCTCAAGAAAGGATTTTCTTTAATTTCCAAGACAAAACCTTCAGTGGCAAACGCTGTCTATGAATGTTGAGAATAACATGAGAGCTTCTTCCTGTCCCCTTCTAGCCTCTATGCAAAGTACTTTCAATCATATTCTATGCAGTCTATTATCTTTTTGTGCGTGTGTAGAAACTGAAGGTTGCCCAAGGAGGTTGTGCAAGAGTAAAAATAGCACCGAGCACTTGCTGTGTGTAAGCATTTACCTAAGCACTCTGAATGTATTATTTTACATAAATAATATGTAAATAAGTCTCTGGGATGTACTCATTTTACAGATGAGAAAATAAGGCCCAGAGATTAAGTAATTTGCTCAGAAAGCGACGGAGCCAGGATTGGAACCATTGTGGCCTGTCCCCAGTTGCATGATTAGAATTCAGGTCAGCTTGACAGCAGCACTCACACTGTTTTGCTCTGAGTTGTTTGCCCGCAAGTCCTAATATGCTTTCTTCTGTTGACTGCATTTTTTCTCAAGCCCAGTTTTATTACTTGATTGATCATCTGGAGAGACTCCTCCCAATTTTGACCTATCTCTTTTGCCTCCAAACCATGTCCACTCCTTTGAGTCTCTCTTGCCTTTCCTGTAGAAGAGGTATATGCGCTGAGAGTCTAATATACAGTCGTCACGTAAATGTTATCTATCACCTGATAATATTTATCCCATTAAGCCCTTTTAGTTTTTTTCATAGCAGGACACTGTCAACTTACTTGTGGGCGGACCTTCAAAATGACAAGCATCATGCTCATTGCTTGACCTGAGAGGGGTCTTTTCTCTCTGCTACTCTTTACCCCCCTCAGCACTCAGCTGGAGCTCTGGTCTTTTGAAGACTGCCAATGGCTTACTGGTTTTTTTTGTCTGTCATATGTAGGACTTTGTTGAAAAGAGAGAAAGGGAACACTAGTTCAGTGCTCCGTACTTTACATACATTATTTTAGTGACTTTTCCCAGCTCTGTGAAGTGTAGACTGTATCTTTATGCTCCATGAGGATAAGTAACTAGCCCCAGGTTACACAGTTGTTAATGTCTGAACAGGAATTTGAACTCAAGTTTGCCAGACTCCTGAGGCTATGTTCTTTTCATTTTGCCGCATGTACATTAATGATTTATGGCTTACTATTTATCTTGCTGTCATCCTTCCAAAAGAGCTTGAGGCCACTGAATCTTTGTTAGTGCCAGTAAAGGTGGCACTTACTGTGATCTCTGCACCTTTCAAAACCAGGCTGAAACTGGGTCGTTTGGGGGCATTTACATAATGGAACTTTACTGCTCCACCTAATTGCCAGGATAGCTGACTGAGCCAAGATAGCTATGTATTCACCAGACAACTGTGCACCCAACCTCAGCTTCAGGAAAACAGTGGTCAAAGAGATGGACGAGTTAAAAACAGCCAAAGAAATGCCCTTTCTTCCCCAACTGAAAGATCACTTTGTCTGTTGGGTTGAAAACTGTTAAGCCCTGCCTTCCTCAGTTTTCATCACGTGGTTTCTCTTTGAATTCCTTTTCGTTTTCAGTGATCCCACCACCAGATATCCACATTGACAACTATAGTGAAAATTCTCTAAGCTTTACCCTGACCATGGATAGTGACATCAAGGTAATGTGGAAATTTCAACCTAGCAGTTGGGTGGGGCTTTACTTTGTATAGGAATTGATAACAACAGAGTCCAGTAAGATTAAGAAAAACAAACGACATGATCCATTGACGCTAAAGTAGCACAACTAGGTTGGTTCCTTCCCCCAGGAAGAACAACTTGAGTCTTCACATGTAATTATTCTGCCTCAGCCTGGTGCCTTTTTTTTTTTTTTAAACCATATAATTAAGTGGTTCACAGCTACAGTGCAAATAAGGAGTTGTGTTAACAGCATATGTATGCCCTGTAATTTTCAGCTTTATTGGATTTCCTGGTGCTAAGCGCTAAGGCAGAGGCTCCCGCAGTGGAAGAGTCTTACGCGAGTCAGATACTTGGAAATGTACCCACTTACATTCATCCAGTATCTGCTTCTTCCAGCACCTCCAGCCCCTCCCCTTGGCCCATCTGCATAGCCAACTTCACCATAATTATCTGTGTCCCTGTGGTTTCTCAAGTTGAGATCCACCTTCCATACTGTTCTTTTTTGTCTGTTTCCTCACGTCCCTTCCTGTCTGTGAAGTTATGGTGGGACCAACAGCCTTTGGAGTCCTTGAGCCATTCACTGAACTACAATTTGGTGTCATGCCCTTGGCTTCAAAGACAGTCGATGCAAGAAATGGCCTTATATAGACCTTGTCTTTCTCATCTCTTATTGTGTTGTTGTTCCATATTTAAAGATCTTTAGGTCAAATCCTTCTATGAGCTCAGGACTTGGAAAAGGTAGTCTTTCCTGATGCATGGATATATTTGCTCCTGTTAGACAGTGAGATCTAACCAAGCCCACTTTGATTGACCTCTTGGCCTTGACTGCAAGGACTACCTGAACTAAGATTTATCCTTAATTACCATAACCTAATTATCTTTTGAATTTTTCCTCTTTCTGCCTTTATTGTCCTTTTATCCTATACTAATTTTTGTTTCATTGAATCTGTGTATTATAATGGTCTCTTGTTTGTTTTTAGAAGTAGGTGAAGTATAAATATTCAGTGATAGCACAAATGAAATTAGTTTAAAGATCAAAAGAAACAACCCATCCATTGTAAGAAATGAGATACCCAGAGAAACCATAAAAATAGGAGTGCCTTTTGTGTTTGGTATCTTCTGTGAATGTATTGTTCATGTGACAAGTTTCTTGGTTCTTGGCAGGTGAATGGCTATGTGGTGAACCTCTTTTGGGCATTTGACACCCACAAACAAGAAAAGAGAACTTTGAACTTCCGAGGGAGCATATTGTCACACAAAGGTAACACCTTGGAGCTAGTCAGTGTGTTAGCAGGAAGGAGTAAGGCTAGACCAATGCTTTCTTGACAGTGGAGCTTGTCGGGGGGCGGTGCCCAGGAAAATTGGNTTTTTTTCCTCTTTTTAGAATCACTTGCAATTGTATTGTCATTCCACGCCATTTAACTCTCAGAACTGGAGAAAACATCAAATTGTGGTTGACAGCCATAGAGTTGTGTAACTCTGAATTTACTTATGCTCTGTATTTGTGCTATTTCATTTTCTGGTAAAATCCGTAATACCTTGGTTTGCAAGCATAATTCATTCTGGAAACAAACTACTTGTATTGCAAGACATCACTCGTTTACCAAGTTAAAATGTATTAGAACTGTTTGCTCATCTTGCAGAACACTTGCAAACCAAAGTTACTCGCAATCCAAGATTTAACTGTACTATGAAACCTATACAATTAAAATGCTACACAAAGTGGGCATGCCTCTTAATATTGTGATTCGCCTCGTTATTACTCAAACCAGAAACCAGAGTGTCTTTCTGGACTGCAAGCTAGTGTAGTAACAGGATAATTAGTAGCACTATAGAGCTATAGCTACAGTTTGTTGATGCCTGTCGTCAGCCAGGCACTATTCCAGGTGCTTGATCTTATTAGGATCCTTGTAGACACAACAATGTTGGAATTGTCATCCCAATTTTACAAACGGGAACTTAATTTGGGTTCTGTTAAGCAGTTTGCTCAAACTCACACAGAACCGGGATTTAACACCTAGTTTGTCTGACTCCAGAGCTCTCGCTTGTCATGAAGGCAGATTCCAGTTGTTAGTGTCAGATAAGGAGGTTATCACAGTGCCTGCAAGGAGTCACCTCTCATGATTCCAGAGGCATATTCTGAAGAAGAAGCTGATTAGTTCATGGAATACAAACCACTTTTCCTAAACATGATAACCCTTTTGTACAACATGGCCCCTTCCCTGTGTTTCAGCCACGCACAGCACCTTGACCTGTATGAGCAGGGAGTTCAGGTGTGAGGACGGCGAGGCCTGTATCCTGCTCTCGGAGCGCTGCGATGGCTTCCTGGACTGCTCCGATGAGAGCGACGAGAGGGCCTGCAGCGGTGAGTGCCAGCTCCCTCGTTTACCCCGGGGCTCATCCTCGGCCCTCTGTCATGGACCTCTAGCGAGAACCCTTTTGAATGTTTCCTCAGTCTAACCATGAAACAGATTTTTGCCCCATTTTGGAGTCCCAAGTGAGGTGAGGCTTGTCCCACATCTGATACAGCATCCAGCTAATCTCATGCATGTTAGGGAAACGCTGGTCTGAGGTTTGTTTTTCATGGACTTCCCACCTCGTGTTGACGCACCATTGCTCTCCCAGAGCCTCAGGCTTTGTGGTGCGGTTCATGCAGTCCTTCTGTCTGGAATGCATTTAGTAATCATCTTAGTCCTTTCAGGCTGGTACAATAGAATACTGTAGACTGGGTGGCTCATAAACAACAGAAACTTACTTATCACAGTCCTGGAGGGCGGGACGTCCAAGATCAAGTCAACAGCAGATTCAGTGTCTGGTGAATTCCTGCTTCCTGGTCCATAGATGGCTGTCTTCTCACTGTGTCCTCATATGGCGGAAGGGGCAAGGGAGCTCTGCAGGATCTCTTTTATGAGGATAGTAATCTCATTCATGAGGCCTCCAACTACATCACCTAATCACCTCCAAAAGGCCCCATCTCCTAATACCATCATATCGGAGGTTAGGTTTCAGCATATGAATTTTGGGGGAACACAAACATTTATTTAGTCTGTAGCAATAACAGATCTTGCTGTGACTTTGGCCTTGTACTTACAGTCTCCTCTATCGAGAAACAGCCTTAAAGGAGTATAGACAAGGAGGTAACATGCAAGGGAAAATATCATGACTGGAAATTTAGGAGAAATTTAGGAATGGTTGTATAGGAAGGTTTTCACTCTGTTTTCTGGAGTGTCTTTTAAGATGATGGTTGTGACCTGACATTATAGATCCTGGTAGGTCTATCAAAAATCAAGGAACCTCTTGGGTCCTCTGAAATGCAAGGATCTGTAAGATATCACTTTCTCTCCCTCTTTCTCCCTTATTTCTCTAGATGAGTTAGCTGTATACAAAGTACAGAATCTTCAGTGGACAGCTGATTTCTCTGGGGAAGTAACTTTGACCTGGATGCGGCCCAAGAAAATGCCTTCTGCTTCTTGTGTATATAATGTCTACTATAGGTGGGTCCCATTTTTGCTGTGGGAGAAAATGCTGTCATTGCCACTGGATGTCCCATAACTCTCGTGGTGTACGTGGAGTGGCTTTTTATTAACTGGGTCCAACATCTCAGCTACCCCATGCTGATTTGACAGGACCCTGTCTTTATTCTGTTGGCCAGGCTGGTTGGAGAGAGCATATGGAAGACTCTGGAGACCCACAGCAATAAAACAAACATGATATTAAAAGTCTTGAAGCCAGATACCACTTATCAGGTGAAAGTCCAGGCCCAGTGTCTGAGCAAGGTGCACAGTACCAATGATTTCGTGACTCTGAGGACCCCAGAAGGATGTAAGTGGTTCAGTTTATTTTATGGCATGTATAAGACCTTATGGGGCATTTTCAGAGGGTTTCCCAAGGATGCTGAGCACTGTAGGAACATAATCATATGTGCCTCGTATGTACAGAAGTATTGTGGCTAAGTTTTACGGTCCTGCCTAAGTTGTTGAACATTTATTCCCCTTATTATGTCNCCTTTTCTTTCCAAGGAGCATTACTACCTTGAACTGTTCAGTATGAAAGTAATCTGGATTTCATGGATGTTTTTGTTCCTTATCTAGCCCAAGACCCCGAGTTCCACAAGGTTTGTGATGAGTTCAGTTTCCAATGTCAGAATGGAGTGTGCATCAGTTTGATTTGGAAGTGTGACGGGATGGATGACTGTGGCGACTACTCTGATGAAGCCAGCTGTGGTAAGAAGACCTTAGAGCTGCATCTTGTCATCCCTACTCTTTGAGTTACAGTGGACCCTGTCGTTAAGGAGGGGATACTCACCAGCATACTCCAGCGCTGGCTTTGCCTTCTCCCTCAGCAGTACTTCCTGCCAATTCTTGATCTCCATGTAAGGAATTGAGTTTTAAAGTGGCAACCTGACCCCTAGTAGATGTTAGGGCGTGTTTCTTCCATTTCCTTTTCTTTTCCCAGTCAGGAAGTTCACATTCTGTACAGGGGAAATAGTAGGTGAGGAATAAATGGTAGATATTTTGGAGTGTGTTTCTCCCTCCTCCCCTAAAAGTTATAGATACCACAATGTAATAGCATCATTGTCACCATTGTGTTATCAGTAGTTAGGTTGTTTTTTTTGTTTTGTTTTGTTTTTGGTAAAGTGTCAAAATTAAAAACTCAGGTCTATCATTCGCAAGATACATAAAAGTGTAGGTCAGAGAAGCATGAGTTGGGGTTTGGAAAAGGGGGCTTTTGTTGACTTTGTGGATGAATTTTTGGTCACTCACTGGGTCCAAGAAGCTGCCTTGTCTTTCTGTGGTAGGGATATGCGGGCTGCCTTGGAACTTGGGTGTTGAGGAGGCTGTGTGTATATATGTGCAGTGTTTTGTTTCCACTGGTGCAGGGCAGATGACTGATGGTGTGTTTGATCTCCCCAGAAAACCCTACAGAAGCCCCAAACTGCTCCCGCTACTTCCAGTTCCAGTGTGAGAACAGCCGCTGCATCCCCAATAGATGGAAATGTGACGGGGAGAATGACTGTGGGGACTGGTCTGATGAGAAAGATTGTGGAGGTAAGCAGTCCTGGGGTCTGCCCCACAACCAAGACACTTTAGGGCCTGGCTTATGGAACGAGTTTTTGAGGGTGAACTCCCTGAGTTCTTTTCTATCCTCCTCCCATTTGGAAAAATCAGTGTGATTGGTTTCTCCTGTTTCTAGGAATATGCGTTCCATATTTTGCAGGGCACAGTGAGAACCCTAGAGCCTGGCTACTGCAAGTGTGGTCTGCAGACCAGCAGCATCTGCCTTTCCTTGGCGCTTGTTAGAAATGCAGAATCTCTGACCCCATCCCAGGCCTGAGTCAGAATCTGCATTTTAACAAGATCTCTAGGTGACATGTGTGCCATGATACAATTGAGAAGCACTGATGTGGAATGCATGCTCGTACCTTTCGTTTTTGGTTTTCTCACCCCTGAACCAGGCCTTGGGATAGTTGTGGTTGAATTAACCAGAACAGTGGTTAGCCTTAGAAGGAATCCCTCCCCCACATACCCAGTGCATTCTGAGTCACCTTCCTCCATCAGCCTGCAGGAGCCCCTGCAAAAGCAAACTCATCTGACTGTTAGCCCAAATCACATACAATAGGTAGGGTGAATCTGCTAAAAAAAAAAGGAAAAAAATAGTCTGTTCCGACACCCCATTATAAATGATTTTTAGAGCTGCTCTTCGGAACTGCTTGGCACTGGGCTGCTGCAGCTAAAACTGGAACATACACACTTGGTTTGGGACCCATTTTGGTCTGAGATCAAGCTTCTTATAACACTTTGGGTTTCCTTGCTTGGTGTTTTCCTCAGATTCACATATTCTTCCCTCCCCGACTCCTGGGTCCTCTACGTGTCCACCTAATTACTACCGCTGCAGCAATGGGGCCTGCGTGATGGACAGCTGGGTGTGTGACGGGTACCGAGATTGTGCAGATGGCTCTGATGAGGAAGCCTGTCCATCTCCCGGTAAGTGCTGGCCGTGGGCCTCTCTGTGGCCAGGCTGCTTCTCACTTCCAGAGCAGGGAGATCCACGGGAACTGGGAACTAGGATATCTCATCTTCTGCAAATGTCCTTTGATCTTCCTGCAAAGAAAGAGTAGCCACGCTGCTTTCCACCCTGGCTGCAGTTGGGTCTCTTTTGCTTTCTTCTCCGTAGGAAATTACAATAGGAATTAGGGGGAAGTGTTTGTGTGTGTATTAAACTCTCCCGAGACAGCCAGACAGCCAGCCGTGTTCCTGCTTGCTAGCTGTCAATCCACCTACTAAAAGAAGGGTAAGCACTGCCATCTATTGGCTGAACATGGAGAGGCAGCTGAAGGTTTGTGCAGTAACCGTGTTGCCAGGGGCTGGGGTGAAACTATGAGACCCCATCTATTGCATGCCCTTAAATGAATCTAGAGGTAAAGGATACTGTGTTCTCTCATAAATAGGATTCTATTTAAAACTCAAGCTACAGTAAGAAAATTGACAGTTGTTTGCCATGCATTTTATAATTCTTAGTAAACTAACTTCTAGGTCAACCATCTGATTTTCCTCCTTTAATGCTATTTTCATCCCACTGCTTCCCTGTTAAAATCATCAGTTGTTCCCGTTTGTCCTCTGTTGTACAGCTAGATGCTCACCCCTGAATCCTATTTTCAAGACCCTGTGTGAACAACCCCCCTTGCCTACCATTACTTCTTACATCTGCCAAGCTGGGCTCCTCATCTGCTCTGGATAGTTCTCTGCCTGTATTCCTTCATCAGGGTTTTACCTTTTCAAAAACCACTACCTTCCTTGACCTTGTCCTTCTACTTCCCTCTCTGTAAAACCCACCGTCTATCACAGCAGACAGAAGCATGGATTTTGCAGCTAAAAGAGATCTCACTATGTCGTCAGTATTTCTCAGTATGGTACACAGACTACCTGTAACAGAATCACTTGGGCTGTTTATAAAAAACAGAATCAGAATTTCCAGGTGGAGACCAGGAACTTCTTATATGATTCGTAGGTTTGCTGAAATTTGAGATTCCTGCTTCCAACACGGAGGGAATTATTCTCCCTCTCAAGCCACTCCTCCACGGAGCTTTGCTTGGAGCTTTTTTTATCTCTTTTCCAATCTCATTGAACTTACCTTTTGGTTCTTAACTGTGATCTGCCATATATCGCTTCCTAATCATATCATGTGTATAAATCTTTTCTTCCCATAATGATTATGTGTACCTTGTCTTTTGCGATCATGATGTGAATCCACCCCTGTGCCTACCAGAACAATATGAGGTGTGATCACAAAATATGGTGAAAGTTTAAATAAAGAAACGTTGGGCCGGCCGAATGGCTCAGTTGGTTAAGAGCTCGCTCAAGAGTTTGAGCTCTGAGCAACAGCGGTTCGAGTCCAGCCCGAGCTGAGCAGCCGCT